GGCAGTGCCCACTACATGTGGCAGGTATGCCAGGAATTGCAGCCTCTTTCCACACTGCTGTGCTCAACTTGCTCAAGGCTAATGGGGCCCCAGGAACAGCTGGAGGAGGCTCCTGCTGTGTGCCTACTGCCCGCCGCCCTTTGTCCCTTCTCTACTATGACCGTGACAGCAACATTGTCAAGACTGACATCCCAGACATGGTGGTGGAGGCCTGTGGCTGCAGTTAATGTGTATAAAGGGGAAGGAGGTCATGGAGAAGGAGATACTCATACACAAATTCCCTTCTCATCTCAGGCAGGCTGTTCACAAATTTCTGCCCCAACCCAAGATGGGGATTCATCTTTCCCAACATAACTCCGGAAGTCCTTCCACTCTCACATTGGTTATTCTATTGAGGCAGTTGGTAGCACAGTGCATAGAGCACTGGGCCTGGAATTAGGAAGACTGAGTTCAAATCTGGCCTCAGACACTTACCATCCGTATGACTGAGCAAATTGCTTCATCTCTGTGCGTTTCCTCAACTACAAAATGGGATAATAATAGCACCCACCTCACAGGGTTGTTGTGAGGATACAATGAGATAATATTTGTAAAAAGTGTTTAGCATAGCACCTGGCACATAGTAGGTGCTATAAAAATGCTTGTTCTCTTCTTTTCCCTTCCTTATTCTCCCACATTCTCACCCCTTAGGAGTCAACCCATTACATTCTTCAGAAGACAGCTCAGGGTATAGACTGAAAATTTACTACAAACTTCTATTCTCCTTAACCCTCATGCTAACTCACTTCAACTCACAAACACCATCCCTGCCCAGAATTCTCATTTAAGGGACTCTTCCCTCATGTTTTCAGCCAAAGAGACCCCTCACCTCCATCCAGTGGTAGGGATATGCATTTGTCGCCCTTCCTAAAGAGCTAGTCTACTCTTCAACCTATCTGAAAGCAGGAGACTCCTTGCATCCCCATTTCAGGGACTCCCCTCTATCCTTCATAACTCACTGGTTGCCTAAGAATCTCAGTAGAGGACCCCTGCCCCGAAATGAGCTGACCCAGCCCCTTTCCTCCTTTCTGAGGGCAGAAAGATAGGTACAGATGGGTCTGGAGTCTTGAAAAGTATACCTCCTTGGAAACACACACAAACATCTATATTTATCTATCTATTAGAAATATCTATCTATCTCTATATCTCCTTTTGATATCTAGATATCTCCTGTCTCCTAAAAATTCCTCCCAGCTGAAGCTCATCTCTTTTTCCTTGCCCATCACATCCCTAGCTTCCTTCCTTTCCCTTTCCCTCCTCTCTACTTCCCTACCAAGTCCTTGACAAGCCTGCTTTCCAACCTATCTGTGCCTCTCCTGTCCCATATAAATCCTCTCTCCAGGGCAAAGCTACTTGTATTTTCTACCATACACTGTACTTCCTCTCTTTACTTTCTACCTACTCCTCAATAATCTTGGGTTCTTCTCCCTACTCCATTCAAACATCACTGATCTTGTTCTAGATACCAGTAAAAACAGAAACAATTAAAGTTTTGAGGCCTCCTACTTGATGCTTTACTCTTCCTTCTGAATTCACATCCCCACAATGAACTGTCTTCTCATTATCTGGAACACCATTGAGCTGTGAGGAGTAAAGGCAAGAGGGAGGTGAGACCTCCTAACAGGAAGGCCTTAAAATAGAAATACCTAATGGACAAGTACCTGCCACCTCCTCTGCCCTTTGTGATTTGCCCTAACATATGGATGCTTGCAGGCTAATCAATTGCTTGATCAATGGATGGATGATGACCTATTGTGCATTCACATTCTGCTGGACATGGCTCACATTGGTGGTTGCCAAGATGTGGGCTTCTGACCTCTGGGGGAATCACCCAGCTATTGCAAGAGGACCATCTTATTAAATGACTCAGTACAATAGATAAGAAAACATACCTTGTGAAGACAGAATAATTTGTCTCTACACATATGTATTACTACTTTTCAAATATATGTAGCTGCTATTGTGATTAACAAAAAAAAATTCATGTAAACATGTTACTAAATCATGGTAGCTCTTTGTCACGTGTTTTTTAAATTAGCAGGTATTAATAGCAACACAATTATTATCAGGTTGGAATGGAGGATCTGATAAATGTTTTGCCATTAAAAATGGGCAGAGAGGTTGGGAATCACTTGGCCTGTTACAGCACAAGCCTGGGAAGAAGCAAAGGGTTTCAGTCTTATGTTCTCCTCCCTTGTCCACAATCTTGGAGACCTGATAGCAGGCAGGGGCCAGGTGAATGGACTTGAGTGGGAAGAGGGAAAGGAAAAAGAGGCCTGAAATGAAACACAAGTCAAGACATTACCCTGTGATGTCATTGGTCCTGTTGGAAACGAAGGACGAACAACAAGGTGGATCCTTTTATCTGGTGACAATCCTCTCTGGACCCTTGCCCTCCTTTCCCCACTGGCTCCTCCCCCTGGCTGTAGAGCTCTGTACTAAGAGGTCGATACAGTCTGGTGCCCAAGGTCGAGTTTGCGCAAAGCTAGAGATTTCCATTTGGGGAATGAATTGTCTGTATTTGCTTAGCCAACAATCACTTCCTGGGCAAGTGGGGGTGGAGAGGGGGAATTGGAGGGAATCTCAGAAGAAATAGAAAGGGGCCCTCTAGGGTGTGGGATGTTTGGGGAAATGAGAACTCATGCTGGAACATCCAGATAGTCTAGTGTCTTTTCCTCTCTGAAAATCTCCCTTGAGTTTTAATTTTTTTCCTTCCTGCTATAGAGCCTGTCCCTTCCCTTTTTGGCTAGGTTCTTCACTAGGAAGTGAACCATGGGTTTTCTTTTTCTGTAGTTCTTCTAACCCCAGGCTCCATGCTTGCCCCTCCACTACCCAACAACCTTCTTTTCTAGTGGCTAGATTATAGCTTCCCCGGTTCCTTCTTCCCTTCTCCCCAGCCTAACCCAACTCTCAGTTGGTGAAGGGGCAGGCAGCAAGGCAGATGGTTGGGTATTTATAAACCGGGAGCACTTCTTGGGAAAAGTGACTAAGATGCTGGGAAAGTATTTTTAACTGAGCTCTGACGTAAGTGTCAATGGGGAGGTAGGACCAGACCAGGCACAGGAGAGATGGGGCGGGCAAGAGCTGGCAACTGGGGGCACTTGCTGGGGGTGGGGAGGGGATATGGGTCAGAGGCTACCCCCAGCTGCTTCTCCTTACTTTCTCTGGCCCCTCTCCCAGCTTTGGGAACCAATATGTGCCCCTGGGCACCAAGAAAGACAGATGTCACAGCCTTGTAGCAATACTGTGGCAAAGATAGGTCCCTGATTCTTTTATCACTATAAGAGAGTGATAAGGGGGAGGGGTTAGGGATGAAGAGATTAGTCTTACCTTCTTTCTGAATTCAGAAGGCTGAGCATTCGAGTGAAGGAGCCCAATCCTGGGTGACTAAGGAGGACCAAAAAAGTCTTCCACAGAACACTTCCTATTCTGTCTCCCTAGAGAACCCACTTCCTTGGGGGAAACCGGTCATCTCTGGACCAGCTGTTGTCCAGTGGCCTTGTACTGCCACATGGTGGTGGCCAGGGGTATTGTGGCTTAACCAGTGTGCATGAGGAGGGTGGAGCAGGATTACATATCTCTTGGTTGGTGACGGTAGTACCCATATGGTTATCCCACTGCAGAGCCTAGTAAGGAGAGAATTAAGGTGGGTTATGGGGCTTCAGAGTTAAAAAGTCCTTTATGCATGGCCAAAAAGTCACAGCTAACCTCAGTAATGGCTCTTTCTATTCTCCTCACCACCACACCATCATTTTGCTGGAAACCGAATGTGTAGAGAGCTGAACTCATCAGGACAATATTCAAATCCTGCTTCTAGATTAATTAGCTTTTACTGTAACTCTGGACAAACCTTTTAACCTTCCTTACCTTCGGCTTAATTTGTAGAATGGGGTAAAAATAGCACCTATTTTTACAAGGGCTGTTATGAGGTTCGAATCAGATAATATACACTGCATTTTGTAAAACTTAAAGCACTAAATAAACAATAGCAAGTATTATTAAGCTGCAAAGTTGGGGTGTCCCGCTTCGTTAGAAGCCTCTATTCTGGAGGCCCAAGTTGTTGGGGGATTATAGTAGAGTGAGGGGAGACTGGGGCCAAATGCTTACTTACTCCTCTCCTGGCTAAGCCCATGCTGTCTAAAGCTAGGAGGAAAGTGATTGGAGAAGTTGGGCTTGGACCCCAAGTTATTGTACTCCAAAGTCCCAGCCTCCCTTCCTCAACCTAAAAACAGAGAGGTGTTAGCAAAGAGGAGCTGCTTTTAGTACACTAACAAATCTAGGCTCTTCTCATCACCTTAAAAGAGATTAGATCAAGTTGCAGTGCCCACTTCAAGGCTGGGCACCAGGCCCTCCTAAGTGCCATGCCCTTCTGCCAATTGGGATGGACTCTGCCCGAGCTCCACAATTGCATCACCCTTCCCCGCCCCTACCTCTGGGTTTCCCCATTCATCCCAGTAACACACCTCACCACTAGTTCTCTCCCTCCCCCACAATGTATTCATGTCCAATTGGACTCTGGGCAGCCAGCACACGTAGGGGACAAGGGGTGACTTGTAGGTACCCCGTGGCACCTGCCACCTAGGCTTGGCCTTGGGAACTCTGTTGCTGCTGCACTTCCAGCCTCCCTGTTCACTGTTTGGGGGTAGAGTCCTGGATTCTTTCTGGCCTGGCCCCTCAGAGTAGTAGGCACTAAAGTCCCAATAGTCTACTCTGTTAAGTCAAACTGCTGTGGAGGAAACTAGAAAACCGGAAGGTGGAAGGTATTGGGGACAGCTGTATGTAGGGGGCCTTAACTCCTCCACCTGGCTCACATGGCTCACGTCCTCCTCCCCCTCCCCTGGACCCTGGGATCGGAGTCTGCGAAATCATCCTCTTTCTTGCATCATTCCTGTCCACGTCTCCCCCCACCCCACCCCCACATACCCCTTCCCCAAGCCTGTCACCACAGCCAGACTGGTGAAACATGAGCTCTGGAAGGGGTGGGGGATCCTCTACTCCCCCCCCACCAGGGGCCTGATTGACAGAAGAACTGGCCAATCCTGGTTCTCAGGAGGTGGGTCTGCCTACTGACCACTAGGTGGGGGAGCCCCAGGCTGCCAGCTCAAAAGAGGCCCTGGGTCAGTAAGCTGAGTGGATCAACCAGGCAGACAACTCTGAATACCCCACTTTTCATCAGTCAGATTTTTGTTTTGGGGTTTTTTTTGTTTCTAGGGTACAAGAATAGGAGGACACCTGACTCTCCCTTCTGCAGGGGGGTAGGTGTATCACTTGTGCCTAGTAGACTCTGTTTTCCTTAGGATGGCCACAGGGAGAATGGGGTACCCGGATGCCTGGCTCCTACTGGTACTGCTATGGGCACTAGCAGGGGCTCAGAGATCAGGACCTCGGTGCCCATCATGTGGGTTACTCACACTAGGACCCCAGGAAGAGAGGGCCCTGGTACTGGAGCTGGCCAAGCAACAGATCTTGGAGGGGCTACAACTGACCAGCCGTCCAAGTGTATCCCATGCTCCCCACCCTGCGGTCCTGGCCAGAGCCTTAAGAAGACTTCAGTCTAAGAAGGTGGCCCAGATGAACCAGGTGGAGACAATCAGCTTTGCAGCAGAAACAGGTGGGTGAAAGAGAGGAAAAGACAGACAGAGAGAGGAAGAATACAGCAGAAAGAGGGATGTGGTTGCAGAGGGAGAAGGTGGGAGAGATGGAGTTGGGAGCTGATGTTCTGAAGCCTTTATCTCTTAAGTTAGGATAGGAAAAAATAAAGACTGTCAGATTCTGAAAAGGTGATGGGAAAAGAGTGTAACTCTTCCACCAAAAGACCCAGGCCTCTCACATTATTCATGAACCACCACTATTTTTCCACAGGCTCTTCCTCCACTCCAGCCTGTGGATCTATTCTCAACTTCCATCTCTCCACTCCCTTACACCTACCTGCATACCACATCCGTCTTTGGTTGCACCTGCATCCCGCCCTAGCTGGTACTCCTTCCATTCAAATCTTCCAGTGGGGTTTGGAGAGAGGGGTCCAGGGAAGTCAAACCCTGCTGGCAGAGCATCGAATGACTACTCCAGGATGGAATGCTCTTACCTTGCCTGCTCATACACTAGAAGGCACTGGCTCTGGTGTTCTGAAATTCAAGCTGGTCTGCAGGCCTCATGTAGGCAACACCACAGCTGCCAGACACTTACTTCTGGATACAGCTGGACACCATCAACCCTTCCTGGTGATTAGGACTCAAGCCAGAACACCTGGGGGGGATCGGGCCAAAAGGAGGACTCCTACATGTGAGCCTGGGAGTCTTCTGTGCTGCAAGCGGAACCACTATGTAGACTTCCAGGAATTGGGCTGGCAAGATTGGATCTTGCAGCCTGAGGGGTACCAGCTAAATTATTGTAGTGGACAGTGCCCGCCCCACCTGGCTGGCAGCCCAGGCATTACTGCCTCTTTCCATTCTGCTGTCTTCAACCTTCTCAAAGCCAATAGTCCTTGGCCATCTGGTCCCTCTTGCTGTGTTCCCACAGCCCGTCGGCCACTCTCCATCCTCTATCTTGACCAAAGTGGCAATGTAGTCAAGACTGATGTACCTGATATGGTAGTGGAAGCCTGTGGTTGCAGCTAGCAAGGGGGTTCAAGGGATTCAGAGCTAGACAGAGTGTGAATAGTGTTGGTCCACTGAAGAAAGGGGTCAGCAGGTCAACGGCTGAGGCTAATTCCTGACATCCCTTCCCGGGTGACCTGGTAGTCTGGCCCCACGGGCTAACCCTGATGAGTCCAACCTGGGACTTTCAGTGTCCAGTTTCAGGCTGGCTGGAGAATGGGGAGATGGGTAGGGCATTCCTCTAAATGGTTCTTACCAGAAAAGGATTCCTATCCTGAACACTCCATAAAAGAGATGGCTAAGGGGTGGGGAGGGAGGGGTCAGAAAAACTGCTTAGTGGCTTCTAAGAGAGTTGGAATTTTCTGACAAATAGAGGAGAGGGTGGGCAATTAGGGCACGGGAGAGTGTGGTATGGGGAGATATATGCTAGGAAAAGGGGTTGGTGAGGTGCTTTTTGGGAACTGCTAAGAGGGAGATGGACCCAGGGAAAGAGCCTGGGATGGACTTAGAGATAGGAGCTTGGAGAAGCTGATGAGCCCCATAAAGGATCACCCTCTAGTTTTGCCAGAGGTGACGCCCTGCTGGGGAGAGAGAGAGACTTATTTATATTTTCCTAATAAAAATGAAAAGAAAAAGTCCCAGGTGTGTGTCTTGATACAAGGTTTGGGGGAAGACTCAAGGACTGGGATGGGGAGGTGGAGTATGTCCTAAAGGTAAATTGTTCTTCAGGGCAAGGACATGTGGATGTGTCTGGAAAAGAACCACGTGCGAATTCCTTTGTACCAGGTGACTATCACAGTCTGACCAGGCTGATCTATGTCCTTGACCCTTTGGAAATGGCTGGACATTTGGTTGATGCCAAATGGGGGAGGGAGGTAGAGAATCTTACCCCTGGCTCCTTATCTCCTCTTGTCCTCTAACACTTTAACATCTTGTGTTAACATAACTCATGTTAGCAACTCAATGTTAACATAACATGTCCCCAACTTTTCACTAGCTTTACCTTTGTCCTTAGGTTTTTCCCCCAAATAAGCAATTTGACCCTTCTTCCCTACTCCTCAAGAAATACTTTGGAGGATGTTCCAAGATACAAGGGAGGGAGGGAAATTGAAGGCTTGAGGAAGAGGTGAAAGAGAAGTAAAGAAGGTAATTAAAAAGGGGCATTCTCCAGGTTCCTGGTCATGACCTTGTCCCCCACACCCACACACCCATACACCATTCTTCTCCCCTCCCCCATTACATCAAAGACCGAAATAGCTGACCCTTCCCCTGCATCCTGTCGCCATGGTAACAGGAGAGCCAACAGGATATTGAGGGACAGGGTACAAGAGCAGTCTTCCTTCCAATACACAGAACACTTTACCTGTTTCTGACTGCTTTTCCCGGATTCCGTGTATCCGTTTATGTCTCCGCCTCTCACTTTCTTTTGGTATACTTATACTCTCTTAGCTCTCACAATACTGGCGTTTGGGAGTACAGAGATTTTCTTTCATTGTCCCTCCCTCCCAAGGTCCCCACTACCACCATAGTCGTACCGTCTCTGTCTTTAGACAGGTTGTCTAAGAGAAGATGATGTTCATCAGGGGGGCCAGCAGAGGGAGCAAGGAAGCAGCGAAGAAGGGAGAAGGGAAAGGTACAATCGCCGGATGGCCGACATCTCCAAAACCGATGGGCATAGAAGGGTTTAAGAGGATCAGTGTTACCGTCCTAGGGTTAAATATACCCAAACTGGGCCTTCCAAACTCAGACAACCTACCCCCAAAGCTTCCAGCTTTTGTCTCTCTCTCTCTCTCTCTCTCTCTCTCTCTCTCTCTCTCTCTCTCTCTCTCTCTCTCTCTCTCTCTCTCTCTTTCTCTCTCTTTTAATGTTGCCTTTCAATCACCCATCCCCACGGTCCCACAACCTGTGTCTGCTTTTTTTCTTTCATAGTTTTTAACACACCCAAGTACTTGCCTTGCTTTTTTGCTACCCCAGTTCCTGGGGTCCTTTACCCCAACCTAACTACTGCATGGCCAAGCGAGGGCTGTAGCCACACCAAAGGGCAGAGAGCTGAGTTCTAGTTTTGCTTAAGAGACCCTCCTCCCCACACCCCCCAAAATTTTCTCCCCTTCGGACTTTAGTCTTTCTTCGTCTAACTCCCAACTTCTCGGTTTTTTTGTTTTTTGTTTTTGTCTCTGGCTCCTTCTCTGTCGCTGACAGACGATCCCGGATATCCAGGCCAGGATTTTCCGCTAGCCGAGGGCAGCGTGCTCAGTCCTGAGAGCTGTAGTTGAGGGTTAGGAGATAGGGTACCTTCTAAAGGGGGGAGGATTCCAGGAGTCCAGGGGTACAACAAGTTTGCCATCCCCCTCTTTCCTTCATGTAGTCCCCAAGCCTAGTTCACCAGAACTGCCCGAGGGAGGGTAATGGGAGGGAAGGGGAGGCGTGAGGGGGACAGCGCGCCAACAGCGCTAGAAGGAAAAAAAGTTTTTGCAAAAGGGAAAAAAAAAAGTTTGCGCGTCTTGCGGGTGGTCCAGGCTCCCGGCCCGGCAGGCGGGGAGGGGGGGCCGGGTTGGGGGGGCGGGGGCGGCACTGAGGCTGCGCCGCTGTGGCCCTGCCCGTCCCCCCTCCTACCCCCCCCAGCTCCCCACTGCACACCCCCAGCCCCGATTCCAGCCCTGGACTGCGCATCCCGCGTCCCGAGCCCCGATGGAGGTGAGAAGGGGGCCAGGTCAGGGACCACCTGGGAGCCACGGGGGGGGGTTGAGGAGGGGGGCTCTGGTTTAAGAGGGATTCCCCGACACTCTCACCTCAAACCACCCACGCCGTAATAGAAATCTCGGGAACAGGGCAAAGTGTGGGGGGAGCTGTCTGTGTGGAGAGATGAGAAAGTTTGTAGCTCTTCTGTCTTCGTCGGCTTCTGTCCCTTTCTGTTTCAGTCATCATTCTATCTCTTTGTCTCTGTTGTCCGCATATACTAGAAATATTTCATACCATTCATTTGATAGCGATGGAGGGATCTTAGGTGAAAGGTCTAGAGGTGTAAAGGAGTCTCAGGTGTTTTGGTAGCTTGAATCCGAGGGCAATGTCTTGGTGCCTCATAACCCCAGAACTGCAGGAGTTGGGGATATGTGAAAAGAGGAGGAGTGTTGTCAAAGTTTGTACCCCAGTCTGTGTATGAGACATGAATTTCTCTGGTTTATGGTGGAGGTAATGTCTCCTGAATTGGGCAGGTAGGGCAGTGGAGTTGTCCCTTTAGCTCCTAATATCTGGTTTAGGCCCCAGACCTCTGGTGACCTTGTCCCCTTTTTATTCCCAAAAGTACTCCTGGGTTCCAAAGTGTGTGGAGATGGGGAGGGGTCGGGGGAGGGGAGATAGGATCTCCGGGGAGACTTTCCCTCTACACTCTGACCTCAGGACCACCAGGGCGCTGAAGATAAACCGGGGAGACCCCTGTGGGGCTGGGTTTGGACCTATTCCTCATCCCTTCCGTCCAGTTCCCCGCCCAAAGAGGGCTTGGGGACTATAAAGCCCCCTCCTTCTGCCCAGACCACCCTGCCTGCCCTGCAGCCTCTTTCAGGTCCCATGACCCCGAAACAATCTTTCAGCACGCAGCTGGCTCCTTGGTCCGGATTAGGGAAGGGGGGACAGAGGGCCCCACAGGGGGCTGGAAGGAAGAGCTAGGGTTTTGGGGGGCGAGAGGACTGGGATCTCTACAATGGAATGTGGAGCATAGGTCCCAGGGTCAGTACTTCTAGCTGAAGGATGGGGCCTGGGGCAATTTTCGCGTGTGGGTGGGGAGAGGCGGCGGGTGGTTTTCTCTAAGAGGTGGGACTCAGCGCCCCCCACCAACGTTACCTTACGGTCCGGCATCCCCGCCAGGATGCCAAGCCCCGCCTCTTACGTCACTTGGGGGTTCCCGGGGGGGAGGGCTTAACCCTTAGGACACCAAACGGGGATACCGGGGAGCTTGGAATTCCCTGCTCCCCCACATTTGATCCCACTCCTCCAGTTATTCCTCCCAACTTCCTTTTCCTAGAACTCTAGGAGTTCCCTGTTCCCTCTTCTTTCTGAGTGAGCTCCCCATATTACCCCCTCCAGCTGACGAGATTTCTCACTTGCCACAGGACCCCCGGCTTCTATATTTAGACACCCCCACTGCAACCAGGGGCTCGCCGCCTGGTTTCTGGCGGAGGAGCAGTGAGGAGGGTGGAATGCGCCCCGCCCCTCAACGCCCTCCCTTTCCTCCTCCCCAACCCCCTCCCAGCCTGCTTGGCTGGGATCTCTGGGAGGGAGGGGGGCAGGAGAGAGCTGAGTCGTCTGCAGCCAGAGTCGGGCGGCCTCAACTTGGGTGGGCCGAGGAGGGACTGAAGCCCTAGGAAGGCGGGTCCGGGGGAGGGGGCGGTGCTTACTCCCAGGGGTTGAGGGAAGGGGGTGGGAAATTAGGGACATCAAGGGAGTGGGAATCCGAAGTTAGAAACCAATAAGTGCCTGGACCTTCTTCGTCCAGGCAAACTTTGCTGAAGTTAAAAAAGTTGGGGAACTCTTCCCTACACCCATGTGAAGAGGGATACCCCAAAGGTGAAAGGAGAGGTACCCTCCATCCCCACATGGCTTCCAGGTCCCAGGCAGAGTGCACCGAAAGAGGAATGACAACAGAATGGATGGGATGCAGTTTTGGCAGGGAGGGCTGCGGTCTACAGTCTGGAGGGATGGGGTGCCGGGGGAGGGAGGAGCTGTGAAACTGCTTCCTTCAACCGGGTGAGTCACAGGGGGAGGAGTCAGGAAAAGAGCCCCCCTACCCCACCCCATCCAGCTGCCAGCCAGCTGTGCCCACCACCCACCTCGACTGAATGCCAGGGTCAAGTGGGGGGTCTTGTAAGCAGAATTGGGACTGGTAAGGGAGGGATCATGGTCCGTAATGGATGGGGGTGGCTAGAGTTGAGTTGTGGGGCTCGTGATCCCCGCCTCATCTTCCCCCTCCCTCAGCCTAAATCCCAACATGCCGGGATCACCCACCGCGACGCCTCTAGCTCCCCTTCCCACCCTACCACACCCCACCCTCATTCCCCGGGAGTCTGAGAAACGTGGAGTGGATTTCAAACTGAACCGAATCTGTGAGTGCAGTAGGCGAGGGAAATTGGTTCTCAATATTTCTCTCTGTCTCCCTTTCTCTCTCCCCCCATTCCTCTCTCTCCCTGTCTCTGTCTCTCTCTTTTCCCCGTCTCTGCCACTGTCTCTTCGCCTGTCTCTCTCTCTCTCTCTCTCTCTCTCTCTCTCTCTCTCTCTCTCTCTCTCTCTCTCTCTCTCTCTCTGTCTGTCTCTCTCCCCCTCCTCCCTTTCTTCCTCTCGTTCTCTCCCCCGTCTCTGTCTCTCTTGTCTCTACCTCCCCTCCCCCTTCTCTTGTATCTCTATATCTCTCTTATTCCTTCTTCTTCTCTCCTCTCTCTACCCCAAAACGAGGGGTTGGGAGGGTTGGGGGCTAAAAGGGATCTCCATTTCTCCCAGGCAGACAGCACGCTACCTAAGCAAAAACTCCTGTGGCTCCGCCCCTTCTTCCTTCAACGCTGCCTCCCGGCTGTGTCTGACTCCCCTGAGATTGTTTTTTCTGTCCCCCTCCCTCCCGCCGCCCCAGAGCCAGGAG